GGTTTTTTTTTTTTTTTTTTTTTTTTTTTTTGGTGATATGTCAAATATCAAGTTCATATGCATGACTTACAATGTATAGATTTGTAATACTTGGATTAATACTACGATTACAACATGAGGAAAAGATAAAACTTACGCTTCTTCACACCTCTAATCATTTAATGGACAAAGCATTGACACAATAATTAAACTCATCAACGCACATGCAAATTGCATGTATGGAGTTGTGAGGAGACACTACAATGGAGACATTCAAACAATTAGAACAATGACTATTTCTTACGATCAGCTCTGAAAGCTAGTCTGCATTGCTGTGAGTATGAGGAGTACGGCGGCTGCCATAGTTGAAGCTCCGGCCCAAGGACTACTAAAATAATTGTGCCTCAAATTTGCCTTCATTCGGTTCCATGGTTTTTCACAATGTTGAATTAATTTTCTGCATTCTTCTTTGTAGTAGAAGTCCTCACATGAAACGGCAACCCCTTTCCCCATTTTGTTGAAGATGCTGGCCACTTCTTTGTCCTCTCCTATCCTGTTCCTGATGATTCCTTTCAGGCGAAGCAAACTCACATCTTTTTCTGATTCAATAAGATAATCCATGAAAATTACATAATCACTGAAACATGTAGGATATACATCTGGCCAATGCTGTTCAAAAGCTATGAGATTTCGCAGGAGAGTCTCCGTAAGATCAACGATTTCAAATGAAGGAATTTCCATTAACCCTTTCTCAAATTTTATATCAAAGAGTGATACTGTCCTATTTCCAAGGCTGTTATTTGTGTCCGACAAACTATAAACATTTTGAACTTTTGAAAATGTAACTCCAGCTTCACAAAGCTCTGTTGCATTTGGCATGCTGCCATGCAACGTTATGTGTTTCGTATCTCTTGGCGTTTCTTTCGGCCTAAATAGTTGTAAAGGATTCCAACATAAACGTTTCCTGGAATGTTCTGATTTTGTCGTGCTAGTCGTCGTCTGTGAAGGTTGACAAGCCTTGTGTAGTACATGCAGTATATGTTTGAGTTCCATATTGTCTGCATTACCTGTGGTAGTCTCACTCAAGGATGCTGGGCACATATTCGGTAAGTTAGATAAAAAAGTCTTCTCCACTTGTTTTGTGAATGACATTTCACCTTGATGTGCAGTCATACCATGAAGCTTAGTGAGTACAGAGAAAGGAAGTTGGTTCTCTAGCAGCAACAGGTCACGATTTACAAGAGATACCATCCAATCTGTGTTTATAATTCGGCCTTCTCTTGGCTGATTTTCCAAACAATCCTCTCGAATATACTCAACCACGAAACTGCCATCAACCAACAACATGTCCACGAATTCCTTAGTGCTATTAACTCCTTATAATTTATATCGTCATAACACTTTAGTGCTTCATCCTTCATTTCCTCCAATTTTCTGGCGCAACTATCCACATCAAGCCCCTCTTTCCTCTGGAGAAATCGTTGTAGGTACAACAGTTTGTATTTTCTCATCGAATTAAGTTGAGGATTTTTGTTATGGTAAAGACCAATGGGGATCAACTTTGGTGTATAAGCATCTGAATTTGATTCACGTAACCCCACATTTACTTTGAATATGGTACATGATTTTGTTGACCAATTATTGTTCAAATCCTTAAATCTTTCATCAAAGATTTCTTTTCTGGTTTGCAACCCGGATCGATCTTCACCACTTGTATCCCCTATCTCCATTACATGATCCACTTTACTTCCTTCTTCCATCTGTAATTGGTGGGGGAAAAAAGAGTCACAAGTCATTTACTTTTGGCACTTGCTAAGAAAGAAAAAAAACTAACAAGAGATCTCTAGTGTCTATATTAAAATAATTTTGTTTAGAAGAGAAACTTGCTTCCGATTGGAACAGTTATGTTCATTAGTTCTCAGAGCTTGACTTCTTTTTCCTTCTTTTAGAAAAAAATATACTACTAGTATATAGTAATTTTTGCTTATTTTGTTGCCAAAAGATAATTAGATCGAGGCCAAATGACCTAAAAAAAAATAAAAGGATAAATAATAGTAGTAAAGTTTTGGTGAACAAATAACGCCGGTACAAAGAAAGGGGAGGTTGGAATGAGGTTTGAACCGTGGGAAGTCACTTTAATCTTACCAAAGAAATTACCGTCCATATACAGAAATTAAATTATGAACAAAAAAATATGAACGACTCCAATAGAACATTTTAAGATATTATTGTAAGTAGGCTTAATACTACTATATAGTTTACCTTTACCCCACCTAATAGCCAATTCACTTTTACACATCAGAAGTGCATCTAATAGTACACTCTAAGGGCCTGTTTGGCCACAACAAAAGATTCTTTTTTCCAAAAAAAATTTACTTTTTTTTCAAAATCACTACTTGGCCATGAAATTTTCAAATTTAACTTGGAAGTTAAATTTCGGAAATTTTCACTTCAAAGTACTAAAAAAAAATTCAAAACTAGCTCAAGATTGTATCTATTTCCAAACACAACTCTAATTTTCAAATACTGATTTCAAGTCGATTTTTTTTCCTCACTTTTTTCTGGAATTTTACATATGTCCAAACGCTCACTTTTTCTTCTTTCTCATGAAAACCCTAAACACCTCTCACCTTGTTGCTTTTTTGTAACAAAACAAAAGCAAAAAGTATAAATGAAAAGGTATTACATGTGAGCGTGCGCTTTGACGAAGCAGTGGAGTTTGGTCGTCTGCTGCTGTTGTCATCTCAATAGAATGCGCCATCCCTTATAATTAACCTTCTTGATCTATACATAAATCCGAATTAAAAGACAAATGTCAGGTTAAAATGCTTTGGTATCAAGCTCTTCTATTCAATTCATAGATGGATACTATTATTAATCCAGATATATTAATACAGAAAAATATGAAAAGAAAAGAAATATCATGCGACTCTAGAAAAAATAAAAATAAAAAATAGCAGGGAGGGTACACTAAACAAATAAGCTCTATTATATTTTTAGTTTTTCCCTCAAACTTACCAGAGAAGCTAACAAAAGCCATTTCTGTAAGGTGGATATATATTGTATGAAAAATATCTAAATATTGTAATGATAAACCATTTGTTTACAAAAGAAAATATAACTGTTCATGCGCATGTAAACAATATTTAAAAATACCCGTTAACGTATAGCGCATGTATTTCATGCGCTATATATATAATTGTTCACCCTTTTTTTAACATTTATGTTATTCGTTTGAGTTCAATTTGTTGTTATTTTAGTTTCGGATTCGAAGGAATGGTGAAGACATATAATTATGGTTTTCGCCAAATACAAAAAGCGGTCCTCATATTTTGTCTCCACTAATATTAGTTGTGTGAGACACATCATAAAAAATTTCGAACAAAAAGTATCAATGTTAATACCAATGGGGCCCAAATAATACCTACAATAAGGAAGCTAAGTTTGTTGTGATAATATTGCCACAGTAAGTATTTCATTTTATTGGGGTAATTAATTTTCCAAATCCATTTGAAGTCTTTATCAAGGCATTCAATTGTAACACCAAATAGTTTAAGATCATTTGAAGGAGTATCACCAAATAGTAACAGGAGGAAAATAATATTTATTAGTGGTCTACAAAGAAAATCGATAAATCGCACCAATCCGATAATCCGAAAGAAAAATTCAACTATGGTTTGGTTTGGTTTTGAAAAACAAAATCAATCTTAACTGGTTTGATTTGATTTTAACTAAAAAAATTCAAACTGAAATCAATCTAACCCGACATTACATGTATAGAAGTTTTTAAAATATTTTATATGTATAAATATTTATTGTAATATAATTTATAAATATCTCTTAAACTTTTTCATATTTCTCTCTTTTAATATATTGTATTCAAGTTTGAATTTTGAATGGTCAAATATGTTTTATAGCCCATAAAGTTAGTAACTCAAATAAAGCTCAAGCCAAATTCAAAACAATACTAGTGCTAACAAAAAAAATTCAATTCAAACTATGAATGACAAGTGTTGAAAATTAATTCTAAAGTTTTGCATTGGTTTAGACAGTAAAAATGCATAACTTATTTTTTTCTTGTTTAGTTATATAATTAATAATTAGTAATACTTATTAGTCATATTTGTTTTAGCATGATGTCTCATTTATTTTTTTTTAGATTAAGACATCTGAATCTGAATACACATATGAATATATTAAGATTTGTATTAAGATCAGAATAAAAATAATTAAGACAGTTTGATTTTTAACATCTGAATGCATAAAATTTATCTTTATTTGAAAATTAATAAACATGAAATTCAAATGAAATACTAACTAATCTAATATTCTATCAATAAAATATATAGTTTTTTAAAATAT